TATATATATATATATATATATATATATATATATATATATATATGTATTCTATATTGATATTTATTGAATATAAGGAAATATATATGAATATAGAATGCCTGACACAATGTCCCATATCGCGTGTATATATAGACTAGATCAAACTGAATATAAAACTGCTCTATTTTGCAAACAATCACGTTTTGAGTTATTAATTAAAGAAGATCGACGGGTAATAATGAGCGCGATAACGCATCAATGTTCTTTAATTAATAACTAAAAATCTATATGATTATTTGCAAAATTGTAGAAGTTTTTTTTCTGCAGTTTAACCTAATCTGCAAACACACGACGACACAACTCATCTGTATATTGTCGCAAATATGAGACGCTTTGTATCAAACATCTTGTATACGTACATTTTAACAATAAAAGTCTAAACATATTATGTAATAATATAAATATTTATAAAATCCAAAACAATAAGAACGTCCAGAGTTAGGTATTACTGTGTTATTAGTATTCGGTAGCTTCATCTTCACGTTTACTCTGATCTGAATTACACAATAAATTGAAATATTGAAAATACGAGATTCTAATAGAAACATTTTCAATTTGTACAGATACAGCGATGGCTCAGTACGGCTACGAAATCCTAACATCGAACTAATGGATCAGGACATATTGTACCATCTCGCGCTCGGCAGCGGCTCTCACGACCTCGTCGAGATGTTCGGCGACGTGAAGGTAGATCGAACAGCGTTCACCTGTCATACTTGTCGAGATAACGACATCGAAAAAATATTCACACCGGTAACACGAGTGCCCTCACAGAAACACTCGAGCAAACTCGGCGGGCGCACTGTTTCATCAATTTAAAGTTGTCTCCCTCTCCAGTTTTCAATTTTTAACCTTAAGTATCCGATGATGACGCAGTTTCGAATAAAATATCACTAAAACGACTCGAAATTAAACGACGTGCTATATAAGATTCTGTCGGGACAAGTGATTTCAGTGAATTTTCTCTCTCATTACTTTGAACGCTCAATTGTCCCGTTAATCTCATATTGAAATTTTAGCTCTACTTTTAATTTTAGATCCGAACTTTTCGATATAACATATATATTCTTCAGAATCAGTGTAGGTTTAATACACAACAAACTGAAATCCTACTTTGCGCCTCTAAGTAACAAAAAATGCACAAAATGCCATTTTTTAATCCTAAAGAGGATCTCTTGTCAAAACTGTAGGTTAAACAGAATCAAAAGAGATCGGCTTCAGATTATTAAATTAGAATGAAATATATTAAGGTCGGAAGGGAGAGAAGGATCAAAATTTCGACTTAGAAAATCATCTTTATGAAACGAACGAAATTCAACGTTCTTTCGTGCACGGAAAAAAAGGTTTGGATTAATCAAATATCTGGTCGAATATGAACGATCCAGAAATTCCGATTGAAGTAACCCGAAAATCTGTTTAAATGAACCAAAAATCTTGTTAACTTAAACAGAATCACTTCAATCGGAATTTCTGGATCGTTCATATTCGACCAGATATTTGGCTAAATCTTTTTTTCCGTGTGAAACTTGAAGCAATCTCTTTTTCCCCGCTTTATGTTCGCGTCCGCCATCTGCCCTCTCATCTGATCCTTTCTTCCTCACAGTTCGTCTGCATGGGTGGAACGCCGAAACGGATGGAGCAGTTCGCGAATTACATCATGAAGGAGATAGGTCACAAACTGCCGGCCGGAACGACTCTCCTCGACATCAGCCAGTACTCTTACCGCTACTCGATGTACAAAGTTGGCCCGGTACTTTCGATCAGCGTAAGTCACCTCGCACTTGACACGTTTTACAACAAATGGTCTTCTCCCTTTTCCTCGGCCGCCGCGCGCGACTGGGTTACACAACATTTTCCCGAAAACTGGATAGGAAAATGTTGGTACCAACAAAAACTCCTAGGCAACATAATTGTAATTTCTGCGGATTAGTCACACTGTTGAAGTAAGTCCATGAATTTTGCGGAACCGTTTGACATATGCATATGTTGTTATTTTTCTATAAATCTTATCTATTCTCCTTCGCTTACCGCACCTATCTATTCTCTCATCGCCTTATCACAGCCTTATCACAGCCATTAACATTATCGCTTTCCTATAATACTTCCTTTCCACTGAAATAAACTATCGCCGAGAAAGTGGTTTATATATTTATATGTAAGAGGATAAAAATTATTTGTTTTCACTTATTTATATAATTCGGATAATTATTATTTGTTTTCACTTATTTATATAATTTTTACTTATTCTCCTTTTAATTGACTGTCACAATGCACTTATGTTATATAATATTTATTATTTGACACAACATGTATCAAACGATTCCGCAAAATTCATGGGTTTACTACTTCAACAATGTGACCGCAGAAATTAAAATTGTTGTCTAGGGGTTTTTGTTGGTAGCAACATTTTTCCATCTACCTTTCGGGAAAATGTGTAACCGGTGCTTTCGATCTCGCACCCGACACGTTTTATAACAAACGGTCTTCTCCCTTTTCCTCGGCTGCTGTTTGCGACTGTGGCGAGAATTCTATTTCCGCCCGACGACCGTCCCGATTAATTATCGAGGAACAAGCGAGCGGGTCAAGTGGACGGACGAAAGCGCAGTTCCGGCCTTTTAGACCGCCTTCGCGTCTCACGCCACTGTAATTGGAATTCGATCGAACGGCGGAATATTTACGGCCTCGAGTGGACTTACCTTCTCTCGCGCGCGCGTACATCATTATCGCGCTTGTTTAGCGCGCCACCGTCCTCGATTACATAGTAATGTCGGGAGTCGTCATTCTTTAATTTATCCGATCTCGCGTCATGCAGGCCGCGCGAGATTGAACTTTCCTTCGTGTTACCGTTTTCCTTCACGGAGAAAAATAATATGCTGGCCCAACAAATTTTCTGCTGGTTTAGCAAAATCGTTATTATATGGACAGCAAAAAGATTTGCTAAGAGTACTAATCACTATTTGTTGGATATAATTTGCTGAATCTGCAAATTATTTTGCTATAAGAACCACAATGGATTTATATAAGCAGTTGCAATTTTGCTCCGATAACAAATAAATTTGCTAAAGATACATTATTTTGCATCAATAGCAAATTAACGTGATTCTTAGGACAAATACACTCAACAAATTTTTCTATCCTAGTAACGAAACTACTTCTGCTCTGATAACGAATAATTTGTAAAATTAGTTACGTCAACTAAATTTGTTTGATGTCACTACGAATATGCAGTAGCAACGGTGATTTTGTTAAAAGAGCAAAATTATTTTTCTCCGCGTTCGCTTCCACGTCAGCGGAAACGCTTCACGCGGAGATCGAACGATTTTCACACTTGCTGCGGGGAAAAGCAGCTCGATCCGAGCTTCTCCAACGATTAAGGGGTATTCGAACCAAAATGCTTAAAATTATACAGAAAATGTGTGTTAAATGACATGATTTGCAACGGCAAAAAGTGTGTGTGTGGAGAAAGCCTCAGCCAAATTACACGCTTATGCGTTTAAAAATAACATACCTCGATTTGCAGTGTAGTCGCCATGAACAGCGCGCCATTGTAGGCAGCTGCCTACGTTTACATACTGCTCCTTACACACGCGGTTTACATGCCTGGACGGTCAAACTGTTTTCCATCGGCTCGTTCGCGCAAATTATTCGCGCGCGCGAGCGCACGGCACGTTGGGTGAACTGAGAGAAGTTCGGAACGCAATTGCGTTAGCGGTAATCTGTGCCGGGGGAGTAATTAATTCTTGCGGCGCAGCGCTTCGCTCGTTCACCGTATTATTGGTGCTTCCTTCACTTTCCTTTTATTCTCTCTTTTGATATACCCAAAAAAAATATAATCTCACTCTTAGCGGAATCCTCTTATTCGTGGCCTCAAGGGGATTCTTCTAAGTCCAAAAGAGAAATATTCTAGCGCAACATCATTCCTCTTTATTAAAGAAGAGAAGTAGCCTCTCGGCAGAAATTCTCGCTTAGAATATAGGATTACAAAATCCTACTAAAGATACGACTAGAGTCCTTTCTTTTGAATGCTGGAGTATTTTTCTTTTGTTTTTCGAAGTACCGCCCTGTAAGGAGATGCTGAAAACTTTACCGGCAGAATACTGACATTTTTCTGTAAAGTCGTATTGGTTGTACAGAATTACAAATGCTTTTACGCAATGAAAGCAAAAATGAATAGCAGCATTGCTCAATATGAGGTGCAAACGAAAAAAAATTTTTAATGTAAAATCTCAAGCTGTCAGTTAGCATAATATTTGCCTAATCTAAAAGTTTCGTAACTTGTAACTTGCTTCGTAACTATACGAAGGTGTGGATGCTCCAAAGGGGAAAAATTTGAAGAACATCTTCGCTGTATCTTCGCATCTGAATTTAGAAGCTTCAGAATATCCGAAAAGTTTGTAAAAAGATTTCTATACGTCATCGACTTCAGCATCCCCTTAAGGCTTCTTAAGAGGATTACATTTTTCTGGGCGTATGGACGAGTGTACAGGACGTTCGAGTGGACGGGAAATAAACGTGATTACGAATGGAATTCGTATTTTAGCACGGAATGGGCATACCTTCAGTCGGGATCCTGCTGCACGAGGTGATCAAGCTGATGTATCACGCGAAGGTGAAAGACCCGGTCTTCTTCAGGATCGGCACTTGCGGCGGTGTCGGCTACGAAGGTGGCACGGTGGTGATCACGCAGGAAGCCGTGGACGGGATGCTGAAACCTTACTTGGAATTGGTTAGTGTGTGCGATTCTCCACTTTCCGCCTTTCGAGTGGATGCAGATATGCGCTCAAATTAAGGCACTCACTGATTTACGTTCTATTCAAAAGACTTCTGTCACAAATGAAACGACTTCACCGAGTTTCAGTCATGTTGCTTCGCACTCAAGGTGTTCGATGAAACGAAAGATTCTAAGATATTTTATATATATATATATATATATATATATATATATATATATATA